TGTGTTTTTAGAAAACATACCTCCCTCATGTTCCTTTTGCTGTTGTCTATTTTCAAATCTCAGACTGTTTTCCTCTTTCCAACCTCAGATTGATTTCCTTTCGTGCTACTGCTCCCTCTGTCTTTCATCGTGGCAAACCGAACAGAAATGTGAGACTTTACAGTGTTCTCGGGAAAAAAAAGTGCCAAAAAATATTTACTCATTTTTCTAAATCATTATCTTGCGCAGTTTTGAAATCATTACAAAAAGTATATACAGAAGAGATTAGGTTATATTGCTCAGAAAGAGTCCAAACTCCAGCATTTTTTCTATTTAAACTTATTTTTTAAGATATTACTATGAAACTGACAATGTATTCTATTTAAATCTGGAAAAAATATTTAATAAAGTTTTGTGGCATGTTCAACTTGTAAACTAAGACAATTGAAATATTAAAAAGATATTGGCCGGTGTATGGAAGGCTAATTAAACTCAACGTCATAGAATCACAATATGATGAAAACAAAAAAAACCATTGAGATAAATTAGATAAAACAATGTGAGAAATGACAGAGTTTTGCTCTCTTCTCAACCAGAAACTTTAGTCAAATCTGTCATTTAAGTTGAGGCGCAGGTTCATGACAAAATATAAACATGTTACAATTGTTTCCTGTTTGAATTTGTTACTAGTAGCTAGATATATGTTGGAAAATATTTTTTTGCATTATTATTCTTAAGGTATTAACCAGGAATTTTGGTGGTGACTGTGTTTTTTCGAAAGATTTATCTTCCGAAAAAAAAAAAAATATATATATACATATATATATCCCTGGCATAAAATTCTAGCTAGAAGATTGCTGGTATTAAGGGCCCTATGTGCACCCATTTGTCTTGCCCCATGTGCTGATAAGCTGATAATCCTCCTGCAGATTCCCACTGGTGTCCAGGTCTGGCATGCAAACGGGCTGCTGCTGCAGCTCACAGAGGAGCGTTGTGGTGTGGGAGGGCGAGGGGATAAGGGCCTCTGCTCTGCCAACCAAATGAATAATGTAATGTGTTTCTGGAGCTAAGACCACGCCGTGCGCATGCGTCACACTTTACACACTATAATGCCCCACTTACAGTAGAGAAGGAGGAGGGGTCGGCTGCAGGGGCTTTCTTGAATTAAGAAAAAGAAAGAGAAAAAAAACTCTTCAGAGTAACGTCGTCTAGTGGACTTCTCTTTTATTTTGTTGTTGTGTTTTATTCCCTCCCCAGAAGTGTCATTGCAGTGGGGTTGATTACCATTATGCTGTTCAAAGTCTTGTCTTTGACAAATTCAAATGGTAATTCAAATTCTCCCTGGTTGTGTCTGTTTTTTTTTCTTTTTTTTTTCTTTTTAATCTCCTGGTGGGATGCAAATGTAAAGTCCGGAGGGAGCTGCTGGGACTCGCACGGTGTGGAGAGTGTGTTTTATCACCCCGGCAGAGATGAGCAGCTGCATGGCTGGTCTGCCTGCATGTGTCGGTTTGGTTTCTAGCGGGTTTGCTCGTGTGGCTGCAGACAATCATGACTTAAATGTGAAAGCTTTGATGGTACTCCGTTTTGAGAGATTGCAATGCTGGGCAGAGAGAAGCAGTGGCTTCGGTTTGGCAGATGCATGGGTTCTCATCATACCCGTTTCCTCCTCCCCTACTCTTCCTCAAAGCCGGTGTCCCACTATTCCACTCACTACCCCAAAATAAGTGAGTTGTAAAGAGGGCTGGGTTGTTTTCGTAAGCACTGAAATCTGTCACACAGAGAGGAAAAAGTGGTGTGAGGAAGACGGGTTTGTGGAGGAGAAAACGGTATGAGATTGAGTCTTACTTTCCACGTGTTTGGTGGCTTTGCTGTTTCTTTTGTTTTTGTTTTTCGGAGGCAGGCAATGTTTACTGTCACAATTTGCTATTTTACCCATTTGTCATTTTAGCACATTTGCTTGAGAAGGGTGCTTTTTCGGGAGTTTGTGCCACGCTGACACCAACATGCTTCATTTGTTACCGTGTGTGTCTGAAGCAATTATTTAAGAATGGAATGGAGCTGTATTGGGTGGAAGCATTTCTCCTAAGACACATTAACTTATTCTGTTTTCTCGAGGTCCCCTTTTTATAGCACTTTAATATATATATATATATGTGTGTATATTTTTAAAACTGCATGAATTAACGGTTGCTTTGGAAAACATCTGACATCAGAACTTGTAGGAGAATTTCTCCTTCTTCCACTCAGCCACAGTTTTGTGTCAATGGCAAAAAGTCATATTTTCCCCCTTAGCGCTGGAGCCTGATATAATTGAGGTGGACTGGGAAAACTTACAGCCTTTAACGGAAAATAGGAGCCATAAAAATAAGACTAACAGTTGTAGTTCCAGTTAAGGCACTCTTGTGGTGTGTGCCGTGGGGGTTTCAGTACACAGACTGTGGATAGCACAACATGCTTTCACGCTGCAGAACCAATCTCTGTGTGCAGATTTGGTCAATCCCGCGTGCGTCATGTTGACGGCCTCCATGCAAGTTGGCCGCGTTTTCTTTCAGGAGCTGCACTGAATCATGGTAACGGTCAGCGACAGAGCTTTGCAGTTTCCGTTTCCTCTTGAGTAAAGGAGCAGATTCTTCTCTAAATGTGTCAAAAAATGTTTTGCTCTATTCTTTAAACTTTCTTTACATTTTATTTTACGGCTGGGATCTGCCACCCGGGCATCGGTTTTGAGGCCAGCCGGGCTGTTTTTTGATAAAAGAAAGATGTATAAAGTTTCAGACGTTATCAGCTATCTTCTGAGGCACCCCAAAAAAGACAAGTCTGTTGTTAAAAGAGAGGAAGAGAGTGTGCATAATGAAAGCAAGGGATGAGGAAACCGAAGAGTTGCAGAGGTGATTAATGCCTCTGCCGTCGACAAAAGGAGTGGGAGGTGTGAGCAAAAAACTAAGAAAGAGATGAGAGTCAATTGCTGGAAAGATAACATCTTAACATTAAAAAGTAATACTTGAAGCAAGTGTTTGTTGTTGTTTTTTTTGCCTTCGTTAAAACTCACCAAAACACACATGAAGGCAAACGGTGATATCAGATATTTAACTTCAAAGCACTCAGGCCCTCTTAGATGAATACATTTAGAATGATATTAATTAAGACTTATGGGAAATGCTCTGCTTGCTTTTGGTCATCGTTTTGTCTTGAACAGAATGTGTTTGTGGTGTCTGCCTGCGAGCTGCAGCATTAGTTACCATGTGTTGCAAGATTCAGCAACTTATGTAGACACGTCCTTGGTAAGCAAAAGAAAACAGAAACAATGTGCCGAGGAAGGAGAGGGGGGATATCAACTGTGTGTGTCGTGATGCGTCAGTATTAAGTGACTCACAAAACACATAGAACAACGGTGGGAATCATTGCAGCTTCTTTTCTTTCTTATTATTTTCCGAAGACGTCTGTGTATGAGGGAATATGCCTAAAATAACAATCGTGAACCACCAACCACCCATGATGCCGTCCTTTTTTCTTTTTTTTTTTCTCCCCTGGGCCGGAAACTTAATGTGCGTTGTTGTGTGCTCCTCTTAAAAAACCCTTTTTATGTCTGAGTTCTCTCCCCACCCTCAGTAGCGGCTTTTTGGATTTTTGGTAGATTTTGACTTGCTTTGGTACATTTCAGAGTGTTCACGATATGAGTGCCTTTTTTTCAAAGAATTACAAATAATTATCATCCTCATTCTGGTATTTTATCTTGTCTACGTACGAGACACAATGTACATGCGTGCAAGGTCAAGTTGTCCATTTCCACTTTGGCCCACAGACTCTTGGGCTGTGGGGCAATCCATGTGGATTCTTTTCTGCATCTTTTCTGATGCTTTCCCCACCGCTGTGCACTTTTATTACGGTTGAGCAGAAGCAAATTGTTGTCAAGAATATTGATTACTGGAGAGATTGCTTTCTTAAGTAATCATGTTTTGATGAACTGAAAAAAATAATGGTGCTTTTAGGGGCGAGGTAACCTCAGCAGCCGAAGCCCAAAGATACTGTGAGCAATGATAAGTCAGAGCAGAGGCAGCTAATCCTCACGTCTGATAACCTAAAAATGTTAGACTCCCCTCAGTCATTTATCTATTTTGAAAAGAGCTGCTTTGCACTCGTGGTAATTTAAAAAGGGGGGAGAGAGAGAAGAGCAACGCGTGCTCCTCAACTTCCTCACCGTTCTGTATCAGCGGTTGGGTCGACGCGGCGTCCTTGTTGCATCAGTTTGAAGAGATAAATCTTATGTAAATGCCCGGGCCTGAAACAAATGGCTGTAAATATTCGCTACCGAGGCAGTGATGTCAATGTATGACAAGCACATGTTTAGCATGCCTTCAAAGGAAGAGCTCTCGACAGCAGTTTGTATCGGAGGGGCGGTGTAATAGGGTTTAACTCATATTGTACCAACCTGAATGTTTGATTCAAGGTGTACTATGACTCACAAGGCCAATATGATTTCTGTTCTTACACGGTCGTTCAACTTTGACATTCGTGGAGTCGGCTAAAAATAAGCGATTTCTGGTGTGTTGGGGCTAGCGTGTTCTGGCGTTCTTCCAGCTCCGCCTGTTGAACTTGAGCTTGAAGGTTATTTCATCTTCATCACCGAGTGTCCTTTTCCAACATCGAGCTGCCATCCAATGGCCTGTTGACCCCCCATCACCCTCCAAGTTGCTAACAAGGCAATCGTGTTTATCGGAAAGTCTTCGGAAAACGGGCCGTTGAGTTTTGGAGAGGGGGCGCGTAGGCGACCTGGGGGGAGGGGTGTCTGAGTCTCTCTTTGTCGCCGTGCACCCTCTTTTGATACAACAGGAAGGAGAGGTGAGTGGCAGAATGTGCGAGCGAGTAGACATCCCCAAGGATGAACGCTTAAGCCCGGCTTCTGACTGAGAAGATCAGACCTTTAACTTGTACATCTGAGGGTAGAAGGAAACAGGAAAAAAGAGTTGGTTTGATAGACGACGAGAAGGCAAGTGACGGAGAAGGCTCGCCGAGAGCAAGAAATGGAGACAGCCATGAGACAGCCGCTGCCTCGTCTCCGGCTGACGGTGCCCATGCCTATAAAGACGGGGAAGGTAGGACCGACGTCTTGGGCTGCGGGGTGCTACATCTCCTTGGGTGAGAAGGAAATGTTTGATGTGTCTTTGAGGGAGGGAAATCGTTTCATGGCTCCACCAAAGTATTTGTCGAGGACAAATGGTTAATTGTTTTACTTTTTCTTCATAAGGGTGGAGTGCATGTGCGTGTTCAATAGGCTGTTGTCAAGTTCATTGCCCAACAGGTTAAATCAAACAATGGTGGGCGGGGGGGAGCCACAGATTACCTGTGTGTGCGTGTGCGTGTGTGTGTGTGTGCGTGTGTTTTCGTACGTGTGTGTAATTGGGTGTGTTTTGAAGCAGGTTAGTCAGGTGGATGGGCTGTTTTTGTGCAGAGCCCCCTGGGCACTGTGTGAGCGCTGTTATTGGATGACCGGGGGGGCTGCCAGTTGCTATGGGAGGGAAATGAAGAACAGGGAGGGGGGAATGGGTTGTGAAGGGTAAGTTGTTTGTGGAAAATCTGGTCTGCTCAGGTGTGTCAGAGATCCTGTGGACCAGGTATGGCGGGGACTGGGTGAGGTGCGAGCCCAAGGCTCCGAAAGCAGGGAGTTGTTTGGTCGTACTGCTGTCAGCTCCCCTTAGAGGCAACCACTCAATTTAATGTACATTCTTTGTTTTCTAATATCTGTGGTGCTTATATGAAAAACTGTCATGTAAAGTTCTTTGTTCACTTGAAAAAGAACAAACAAACAGACCCGTATGACACTTCTAAACTACAGACCGTGTGCATTTAGACAAATACTTGCTCTTGCTGCTTTTCCTTCCTCAATTTTTTGCTGGTACTCCCCCTTTCACCCACTCTAGTCTGTCACTTCCTCCCTGTCCCTTGCTTGCTTTTCTTCCGTGTCTTTCTCCTACTTCAGTCCCTCTGTTCTTCTCCAGGTATTTTAATCGATGGGCTAATGCTATAAAGGTTTCACAAGAATTAACCTACTGGCCCTTGACCACAACACCTACAGAGCGTTGCGTAACTCTTTCTTTTCACCGTCCTCGCGATCGGCCATTTGTTTTTTTTCCATCTGCCCCACCTCGATGATCATTTCTACGTTTTCTTGCCTTTAGTAATTAATTCCGTCATCTAATATATTTCTCCGATACAACCCCGTCTGACCGGCTGAAGCTGCCTCCTCCTGAGTCACAGTCTGGAGGGGACAGTGTAGGAGGATCATGGAAGAAAGTCGTTGTTAAGCCTCATTTGAATTGTTCCTCATGTGAAGCAAAGCGCCTTGTGCCGGGCACACTACTGAATATTTGCTTTTGAGATGGCAAAGTATTGGCAGAGTATTTTCTTGTTTCCAGAAACTGCACGGAGTAGATGATATTTTTCAAGGCATGTTTCATAGATGGAAAAAAAATTGAACCAATGTCTAATCTTCCCATTCTCTTGTGTAGGTGGCGATGTCTCCAGGAGAGGACGGTCTGATTGGGATCCCCTTCCCGGAGCATAGCAACGAACTCTTGTCCCACCTCAATGACCAGAGGAGGACGGGGCTCCTGTGTGACCTCACCCTCACCTCCCGCGGGGCCCGCTACCCCACGCACCGCTCCGTCATGGCTGCCGTCAGCCTCTACTTCCGGCGGTTGTTTGGAGCAGAGGAAGGGGGCGGCGAGGGCGGGGGGGGGTTCAGCGTCTGCCAGCTGGACTGCGTCGCACCCGATGCCTTGGACGCCCTTCTGGAGTTCGCCTACACTGCCACGCTGACCATCCCCAGCTCGGGGATGAGAGACGTGCTGCGAGGAGCTCAGCTGCTGGGGATTCAGTGTGTGGCCGACGCCTGCAGGGACATCCTGGGAGAGACGGCGGAGGCCGAGGGGGAGACGGCCGAGGAGCAGCGAGTCCAGCAAGCAGTTAGTGAGAGGTTGGTGGAGAGTGCCGTAGCCAAAGGGTCCAGAAGAAAAACGAACAAAAAGAGGTTGAAAAGGGTGGGGCCAGTTCACATCACCTCGTCACCTCTGAACCCACCGCCCATCTCTCCTACCTCGCACCCCTCACCTGCGTCTGACTGCCTTCGCTCCCAGCCCTCCACCCAGCCCCCCAGCCCCGAATCCGAGGAGCTTTACCTCAGAGCTGGCCAGAACGGGGATCCCAGGGTGGGCCGAGAGCCCGGGAGTGGTGCCACACTAAACGGGGGGCTCCTTCACTGGGCCCAGGAGCGCCCCCGCATAGCCCACCCGCCCCCTGTCCAGCCCTTGAGTGAGAAGTTGTCGGAGGAGGATGAGATGGAGGGTCTGGGCGATGATGTCACGCTGATGGGGAGCAGCTCCACACCTACCTCTGCGGCGGATGGAGGCGCAGCCTCCTCAATGGCGGGAGGGGGGAGGAAGAGGAAGTCTCAGACCCCCCAGCAGTGTCCGGTCTGTCAAAAAATCATCCACGGAGCTGGAAAACTGCCCCGGCACATGAGGACTCACACAGGGGAGAAACCTTTCCAGTGCCCTGACTGTGGGGTTCGCTTCACCCGGTAGGAAAACCTCTAATTCAAATAAGCACAAAGATGAGAAGAACTCTAGCAATCGCTTTCGGTTTTCTTTGATTATAATTTGCCTCCATCAGCATTTTCTCTTCATCTTTTATTCTCTGTTCTCTTTTTTTAGTAACGACAAACTGAAGATCCACATGAGGAAGCACACGGGCGAGCGGCCCTACCCCTGCCCCCACTGCCCTGCCCGCTTTCTCCATTCCTACGACCTAAAAAACCACCTGTCCCTCCACAGCGGGGCGCGGCCCTTCGAGTGCCCGCTCTGCCACAAGGCCTTCGCCCGGGAGGACCACCTCCAGCGCCACCGCAAGGGCCACAGCTGCCTGGAGCTGCGCACCCGCCGGCCCAGGCGGGGGCCCGACCTGCTGGAGGACGTGCGAGGGGACGACGGCCGCAGGGAGCCCGCTTTGCCCATGCCGGCCCACGCGTCCGTGTTCCACCCGCGCACGGTGCTGGACGGCGGGGTGGGGGCCGGCACTGGCCCGCCGCTTTTGTTTGCAGGCGACATAGAGCGAGAGCGCTCGCTTGCCTTTCACGCTCTGGCCCAGCTCGGGCCTCAGAGGCTGGCCAACTACCCGGAGCTCTTCCTGCGAGGGCTGGAAATCCGAAGTGGATTGGAGGCCGAGGGGGAAGATCCCGGAAGAACCTGCTCTCCGGCTCTGCAGCGCGGCCGATGGGCCGACGAAATGGAAGAGGAAATGGGAGAGGAGGAAGCAGAAGACGGGGAATAGTGGACAGAGACTGTGTGCATGTGGTAAAATATCCACAGTAAAAAAAAAATTAAAATCCTTTACTCAGGTGGCTGGACGAATGACCTGCTGCTCCCAGACAGAGAGCACTTAAAAAAAAAGATATAATTTGAAAATATGTGTGTGTGTGGAGGTTG